CAGCTTCCAGTGAGACGACAACTAGCAGTATGCTCTTAAAAGAGCAAGTGATTATAATCCAAGGGAGTATAGTGATTACAGCAATCCCCAGAGTAGCGAATATAGCTGTTCCCTCCAAGCATGAGATGAGGCTCTATGTTAAGGGTGAAGGAGTACTCGTTTAATGGGAGCCAGACACAGCCTTTTATGTGAATTCCCATGCAAGGGGTTTACTGTGACATATTCCAGGGGCATTCCCCACTGGACCTGAGAGGAGACTAGTTACAGCAAACATGCCCAGGACACTCTCAAACAAAACAGGATAATCCCTCCCCTGTGCCTGATAAGTCTGCCACAACGTCAATGTACCCCATCTTTGGTAGGTCTTACTCTAATAGCCTAATGTCTGCTTCATGAGCTACTTACTTGGGGAAAAAATTCCATCCAGAGTTCTCTGCAGTACAAGGCTAAATAGGGCCCTGGGAAGAGGCACCTGTGACAGGGAGGGGTGCAAAACCAAGGAGTTGGACAAACTCCCAAATATATGTATATAGATATATATATATATATATATATACATAGTGATCCTTGTCTGCAGGTAGCACGGTCCTCTTGGGCACAAACATGCACAGTCTTTTAAGGCAACTTAATTCCAGGCACTTTATTGTTAAACTCCACCACAGATACAGCAGCAAATGAAAAAAAAACAGTAACATAAATCCCTATAAACAAAAACCTAGCTCGGTCTGAGCACTTACTAACATCAAGTTCCCTATCTTTCAAGGGTTTAACCTATAACAGAACAATAATTGGTTTCACCAACCTAGTGCCTTTGTCAGATCTCTGCACTCCACACTCAGCATGTAGCTTCCATTCCTTCTAGAAAGAAACACAATTCTCTCTCCTTTCCGCACTCCAGTGCTCTCAGCTAGCCTGCTGCTTTCCTTTCTGCACTCCCAGTGCTCCAAGCCAGCCTTAACTGCTTTCCCTTCTGCACACCCAGTGCTCCAAGCCAGCCTTAACTGCTTTCCTTTCTGCACTCCCAGTACCCAGTCTCCTTGACTCTCTCACAGGAGAGAACAGCGTCTCTCCTACCTGCTTTCCGGGAGGAAGCCAGCAATCTCCCTGTACCTGCCTAGCAGGGAGGGGTTTATTCCCACTGCTGCAGCTGATTATCTGCAGCTGAGCAGTGGGTTGGAGACAGATCAAAACTCTGGCCTGGAACTTATTTCTCCCAGTTGTATGCAAACTGTGGAGTGGAGCATTGGCTCACCATGCTCTACAAATGCTGGGGTTAAATGTTATAGGCCTATCTGCCTTTACTTTATCACAATATATATATAAAATAAAGAAGATCCAGCGCACTCACCTATCCACTATACAGCAACTTCAATGTTGATAGACCTTATTAGTTTTTTAAAACACCTAATCTAGCCAAAAACAAAGGGGGGTTAGTTACATTATATGATCATACATTGCATAAGCCTGCCACAACGTCAGTGTACCCCATCTTTGGACCTGGTTAAATTCCATTGGGAATATCAATCTTGGTGGAACTTCTTCGTTCACATGAAAGCGTGCATCTCGTGCTTCTTTGAGTGCCTTCTGTATGATGTGGTCCTTGTAGCCTCTTTCTGCAAATGTCTTTGTCATCTCCTATAGCTGGAATTCCATAGTGTCTTTGTTGGAATTATTCCTAATCACACGTATATACTGTGCCTTCGGTAGAGAATTTTTCAAAGATCTAGGATGTGCACTTTGATAGTGCAACAATGTGTGCGGTCTGTGGGTTTGGAGTAGAGGCTATAATCGATTTTGGAATCACAAATCGAAATTAGAAGATCAAAGTAATGGACTTGTTCAGAATGGATATTGGCAGTAAACTTGATTGGTGTAGGGGGTTGATTCAAACATGATACCATGTCCTCTGCTTCTTTTTCAGTGCCTTTCCATAAGATCATTGATGTATCGAAAATATTTCTGAATGTTATGGCCATATTTGGATAAAATATATTGCTCTTCATATACATACATATATGCATTCGCATACATGGGTGCCATTGCGGCACCCATCAAAGCACCTGCTACTTGGAGATACCACCTATCCTCAAATCTAAAGTAGTTGTTTTGAAGAGTCAGGGTTAAAAATTCAAGCACGAACTCGACTGGGGGGCTTTTGTATTTCTTAGAGTGTATTAAGACGTGTCTCATTGCTTCAACTCCATCGTCATGTGGGATGACGGTATAAAGGCCAGAGACGTCCATGGTAATAAAGATCAGTTTCTGATCGCTGATGTCGCGTTGTTTCAAAGCTGTAATCAATGCTTGTGTGTCTTTAATACATGTGTGCAGAGCTTCAACAGGAGCTTGGAATAGGAAATCAAGCCACTTGGATATCGGTTCTAGGACCCCTTCTATGGCTGACACTACAGGTCGTCCTGGTGAATTTAAGGGGTCCTTGTGGATCTTGTATAAATAACTGGCGTGCGTGGATGTTCTTTGATGAAATATTGGTATAACCGCATGTTAATATATTGATTTAATCCCATTATTAGAACCTCCTCGATCTTGTTTTGAATCTCTCTGGTTGGATCTTGTCGAAGCTGTCGATATGTTCGGCTAGCTGCTTCTTCAGTTCATCAGAATAATACTTATAGCCCAATATGACTATTCCCCCTCCTTTATCTGCTGAGCGTATCACGATAGATGGATCTTCTGATAGTCTTTGTGTTTTAGAGATGTTTGGTCACCCATTAGTGCTTTGTGACATTATTCTTTTTGCTTCACTTTGGGCTGTAGAGAGAAACATACTGATTGATGGTTTAGTTGTTTGAGGATCAAAAGTGGGCTTTGGGGCAAATTTTGCTTTTACGTCAGGAATAGTGATGTCCCGAACTGTTTGCCGAACGGTTCGCGAACGGTTCGCCACGAACGGTTCGCCACGGACTCATCATTGAGTAAACTTTGACCCTGTACCTCACAGTCAGCAGACACATTCCAGCCAATCAGCAGCAGACCCTCCCTCCCAGACCCTCCCACCTCCTGGACAGCTCACTGAGAATGCAACTTCAAGATGCAAGAATCAGGTATTTTACATTTAAGCAAAACTTCTGTCAAATAGCCCCAGCGGACCCTATTGAAAGCATTCTCTGCATCCAATGAGAGAACCAAAGAAGGCATTCTATTTGATTTAATTTAGTGGATTTTACTAATGAATCTTCTGGTACCAACTGTGGTTTATCCTGTAATAAAACCTACCTGGTCTCTGAGGGCAGTGCCTGTATCGCATGGGGGCTGGACGGGTTTTGGGAGAGCTTCTGCACAAAAGCTCTTACCTTGCCTGATTCATCTAACTCCCATCACGCTTGACCAGCACTAGACTTACCCTAAGAGTCACAGGAGCTGAGCAGAGATCTCTGGGCTGCTCCATTGTGGGCGTTCTAAAGCAACCTTGGAAGTATCTAGCAGGGCCTAGTGGCTCACTTGGACCTGACGCTTTCTGCAGCCTGCTGACCGGTCTGGGGTGAGAGATGCAGCCAATCTCTCAGCTTGGATGCTTCCTGAATATTGCCTGGGCACCGTTCTCTCCCCTCCGCCCCGTGCCCCCCCTGTTATCCCGGTACCTGCCCCAACCAAGCAAAGCAACCGCAAAAGCTACATCCCCTACTATTGTTGGCTCAACTGGGAAAAGAGCTACACAACACCCAACGTCTGCAGCACTTGCAAAAGCAGTGGAGTGAAGCCCTGCGCAGACCCCCACCAGGGAAGGAAGTCACCAAGTCCATGAATTAGTGGTACTGGCTTCTGCAGGGATTCAGAGCTGGACGGGCTCCTCAACTGCTGATATTGGCGAATTTCTGTGAAGGCCACAAATTACCCAGAGGCCAGTCATGGCGCCTTCCAGGTCATCCTGTGACGAATCTCTTGGGGGAGCAGAAGCGGCCAGCAGAGAGAAGGAGAGCCAAACAAACAGGGATGTAATCATCCGTTTTCAGCATCAGTCCACAACAAATCTCTGTACCTCTTCTAAGACCACTCCCTGGTATTCTTTTCTGATCTATCCAGAGCCACAATGGACAAGTAGAGGTCCTTGTAACTGTCATGTGTCTGAGCAGGTCAGAGAGGAGACGATTGCCAGGATTATTGGTTGAAACTTTATTTGTGTGAGGGGCAAATAAGGCCGTATAGGAAGTAGAAGGGAAATAAGTCAGTTGAGGTGTGCCGGAACCGACGTCGTGGTAGGCCTGTAATAAAAGAGGGCAAAAATTGGGTACCTCTCAGAAACAAAAACAATTAACAAAACCTAATTGCCTAGCTGTACGATAAATGCAGAGCGAGGAAATAGTTGCCCAGCACTTTAGCTGGCACTCTTAATTGTGCAAGGGGAAGTAAGTAAGTAATAAACTTGTTGGCACCCTAGGGTAGACTAAATGTGAGGTAGAGAAGGTAATCAGTAGACTGCATGAATAGGTGAGACTTCCTAAGATAATGCTGCAGGAAGGACGTGGTGGCTGTGGGAAAGTATGTGAGACCCAAGAAACTGTGGAAGCAAGAATAGTGGCTCAGCAACTAGATTATAAAGTTAAAGTGGCCAGTGCCCATCAAGTACAGCCTTCCTCACATTTGTGTTTAAAATGGTTGATCTAAAAGAAGGCGAAAAACCCAGATTGAAGCGCTGCCAATTTGCAACAAGCTGGGAAAAAAATTCCTTCTTGACCCCATAATGGCAGCCAGATTTCCTTGGATCAAGCAGTTATTTCCCTACATTGAAGGTTGGTGCCCGGTTCATAGTGACAGGCATTTAATAAGTCTGATAGTGAATGAGATACTTGGATGTTGATGTGAAATCTGTAAATTTGAAATTCCCCGGAACCTGAAACGCCTTGAGTATGCTAATAGTCTGGAATGAGGACATGAAACTGCGTATGAATGGTAAACCTGTACAACATGTGGAGTTGTGAACCGGATAGGTAGAGTTAATGCAAGTTACAGGTGGCAAAAGAAGCAAAACCAAAATGCAGACAACAGAGCTACAGAAACATTATCGGTATACGTGAAGAAGGAGCCTAAAAGGGGAAGAAGGCCCGAACACACGAAAACCGCGAGCACTGGAAAAAGAGCCAGACGTGAAAAAGACGACCACGAGCTAACCAGGCTGGCAGCCCATGGTCGGGCCCCCAAAAGGTGCTGGGAGCCTGGATCAGAAACCAGCCAAAGTGGAAGATGCAAGTTACCCCAAACTGCCAACCGACACCACCCCATAGACGACAGCAGCGAAGACAACCGGAAGGCGAAACGGAGAAGTAAGAGCGAACTCGGGGGCCCCCACCAGCAACAGCATTACCTGTGGAGTGCAAACTGAGAGTTCAGCTGTCCGAAAGGCTGCCGGGCAGGGGGGGGAAGGGACCCGTGGGAACCGCAGCGAAGCAAGGAAGGGCCCAGGACCCGAAAAAAAGGTAGGAGTAGCCGTAGCACCACAGCGTGAAGGGTACCAGATCAAGCCAGAGAGCCCAGGCGGACACTACCACACCAACGCATACTAGCGAAGCAATTAAAACTAGGTTTGGTGACAGGTGAGGCCCTGCTAGATGCCAAGCGGCATGAGAGGCACTATCTATGAGTTGGCGCAAGGGGATAACGTGGCCACTGAACATTGTGGCGGGGTGTTAGCCTCTCGGTGACAGGTAACAAAAGACAGAAAGGGAGTGACAGGTGAGGCCCTCCCTATGCCACAATGCGAGGCGACTAACTACGATTTGGCCCGAGGGGCGTAGTACCTCCGAGTATGAGGATGGGTGTTGGCCTCGCGGGACCACTAACCTAAGGTGAAGAAGCCGGGGGGGAATTACAAACTAGTGGACCCTAGGACCGGGACAGCCAGCCACAGCTAACTAAGAGGGGAGGGAAGGTAGTAGTGTGAGAGAGGACGGATGTGCTGAACGTGTATCGAAAATGTGAGGGTGAACAAGGAAATACTGCAGGGTCGACCATAACCGAAAGGAGAGTCAGCACGTCAGAGTCCAGGCGGACAGGCTGAAAGGAGCGAGCTTGAGAGTAGGCAACAGAAACCGCGTTGGCGTAAACCCCATGGGGGTCACGAGACCCAGTGCGAGCGTGTATGTGTGTGATTGTGCGCGGGAGTGCTGGCATACTAGCTAAGCCGAAAAAGGCGAAACAATTAAAACTAGGTTTGGTGACAGGTGAGGCCCTGCTAGATGCCAAGCGGCGTGAGAGGCTCTATCTATGCGTTGGCGCAAGGAGATATCGTGGCCACTGAAACGTTGTGGCGGGATGGGAGTGACAGGTGAGGCCCTCCCTATGCCACAATGCAAGGCGACTAACTATGATTTGGCCCAAGGTGCGAAGTACCTCCGAGTATGAGGATGGGTGTTGGCCTCGCGGGAACACTAACCTAAGGTGAAGAAGCCAGGGGGAATTACAACTAGTGGACACCTAGGACCCTGACAGCCAGCCACAGCTAAGTAAGAGGGGAGGGAAAGTAGTGTGAGAGGATGTATGTGATGAAAAACGGCATCGAAAAACATTGAGGGTGAACGAGGAAGTACAGTAGGGCCATAACTGAAGTGCAGAGTAAGCACGTACAGAGTCCAGGTGATCAGACCGTATGGAGCATGCCCGGCAACAGGTGATAGAATTCGTGTTGGTGTAACGCCCACGGGGCTCACAAGACCCAGGGAGTGTGCGTGTGTGTGCTGGCATACTAGCTAAAGCCAAAAGGCGAAACAATTAAGACTAGGTTTGGTGACAGGTGAGGCCCTGCTAGATGCCAAGCGGCGTGAGAGGCTCTATCTATGCGTTGGCGCGAGGGGATAACTTGGCCATTGAAACGTTGTGGCGGGGTGTCGGCCTCTCGGTGACAGTTAAACATAAGATAGAATGGGAGTGACAGATGAGGCCCTCTCTATGCCACAATGCGAGGCGACTAACTATGATTTGGCCCGAGGGGCGTAGTACCTCAGAGTAGGAGGATGGGTGTTGGCCTCGTGGGACCACTAACCTAAGGAGAAGAAGCCATAGGGGAATTACAACTATTGGACACCTAGGACCCTGACAGACAGCCACAGCTAACTAAGAGGGGTGGATAGCGAGTGAGAGAGAAAGGATGTACCTGAGAAAAAAAAAAAAATAGGAAATAATGTAGCACGAGGAGCATGGCGGGCAAACGCGGTCCAGCCAAGTAGGGAAACGAAAACATAAAAGAAGAATGCGGGACGGGCTCTGCAACGGGACTGAAAACTCTGGTACGACACCATACGAAAACTGGTTTGAGCAATGCGTCCATCCAAAATTAAAAATAGCTTATGATGTGAAAAAAAAAAATGCAAACTGCAGATAAAAAAAAATAAAAAAAATCCATCAGCAAACCGGCTGTATACATTCCCAACAAACCGTCTGCATGGGTATACAGAGACATCACTACGATGTGCAATTTGAAAACCCACCATACTGGGTCAAATCCGAGTGCTAATAGCTAAATACTTAGATGCATGTTAATTTTTTAGTTATTTTTTTATTTATTCATTTTTAATTTTTTTTATATAACAGTAGTATATTTATTTATTTGTTTAAACGTGATTGACTTTGATCTGTGAAGTCTCCAACACCCCTAGATGTGGAGACTCCGTGTCAGAGAAGGTACAGAAAATTCTAAAAAGCTTAAACAGATGTGTCATTATTGGCAACTGCAGTATGAAATAAGCACTGCATGTTTTAGGTCCCAAGGAAACTGTGCCTTTTCATTCCTATAACAGTCACAGAACTTGCAAATCTCACGTTTTCATTAGCAGCTAATATCTTTCAGCAAACATTTACACAGAGAAAAAGAAAAACAACTGAAACATGCTAACAAAAAACAAAAAAACAAAAAAAAACACACCTCATGCATAACAGAAAGCCAGAAGATGACAGGAAAACGAAGTAAAAGTAATAAATAACAACAAAAAAGGACTGGAAAATATACTCGATACGTGATAAAAGTGTGCCTGACAGTGTTTATAGAAGTATGAGAAGATGGGTTTCACAAAGGCATTAGCATAAGGACAGGGTCCTCATCAAAACCACGTGCAGACAAAAACTGTATGAAATCCCCATCCGGCAACCGGGAATTTCGTGCAGAAATCAAGGGACAACTGGCGAAACAGCGGGCCATTCGCGGGATGACAGGCGAATGCAAGAAAATCACGAACCCCCAGCAACAACGAGCGACAGGAAACAAGGGAAAGAAAAACTCCCGAACAGCGGTAACTAAAGACTCACGGACTCAGAAGACATGACAGGACAGACAGCCGACCGGAGCAGAGCCCAGAAAGGACCGCAAACGATCGAAAACCGCGGGGGAACAGCAGGCCAGGCAAGGAGAACCGCGAGGGACCAGGCAAGTAGGAGATGGCGACCGGAAATAGCGATCTGCAAATCGCTAAGAGCACGTACGGGACGTAGGAAGGTGAGTAGGGGGTTTAAGTAGGGAACATGCCCCTCCCACAACTGCAGGCCAAGCCTTAACATTTGTCTGTTTAGACATAACAATTTACTTGAAAGAAAGAATTAAGGCATTATGCCACAAACAGGATACGTTGAGAGTAAAACAGAATAAAGGCAATATGCCACAAACAGGATATCTTGAAAGTAAATGAATAAAGTCTTTTATATACAAGTAGGTTTGACGTTATTCCCAAATAGATTAGTAAATTGTGGAATGTCACACTGCAGCCAGGTTCAGGGTGATACAGGGTTTAAACAATGTCAAGGCCCTGTTGTGTGCAGGGTGTAGACTTATGAAGCCTCCTCATTAGTTAATACAGGTGAGGATGTTAAAGTGAGTGAAGAGATTAGTGGTTAGGGAGGCCACTGGAGGTGAGAAACAGGTATTGCAGCAATAAAATAAATCAATATCTTGGTTGTCAGAATAGGATCCTGACAGTAACCCTTAACCACAAAACTTGTCAACAATAAGATTCCTTACAAGTGGGGTATATCAAGATGCCTCCAGATACCCTAATTCAGGGACTTTGAGGGTCAATGAGGCCTCAGAAATAGCCTCCTTTCTCCAGAAACTCAGGCTTTTTACCGCTTCTGAGGAGCACCCACCCAAGTCAAATATTTGGGACCCTGCTAGGGTTTGCCCGTTTATACCAGACGCCTAATACGGAAACCCGGAGCCATATCTTGAAGGCTCATCTGCACCTAAACCTATTATTATAATTACTATTATTATTATTGTTATTAGCATTTATATATAATGAGCATATTATGAAGTGATTTACAATTAAAGACTCTGGATATGGATAACAAGTAATTGACAGAATACAATAGTGATAAAATGTTGGACAGAAAGAATACAGTTGTTTTGGGCTCTTTTTAACGTAGACTACCCTCCATTGATAACCCATGTTTTTCCACTGTGTTTCGGTAATTTGGGCTGAAATATAACCAGGAGAGGTGTTTATGCTAAATGCATCTTTTTAGGCATTTTCCCCTTTTAAAAAAGGACTGTATCCTCTGTGTTTCTTAACGTTTATTGACAGGGACCCAAATTATGACCAAGTTATTAGGTTGGGGACCCGCTTTTTACTTTCAAAATTAACTCGGCGTCCCATGATTTTATTGTAATGCAGGATATAACAAAATTTATTCTGCAAAACAAGTTCATTAGTCTGTTCCTGATGTGAAAACTATCCATAAGACCATTAGGAAGGAAATGATGCCCCAAAAAGCTATTTTGTAAGCAAATTGCTTGTTGCCTGAGACTGTACTAAAACTGTGATGTGCCTGTACTATACACTGGGGACCCAGTGAAATGGCAAGAATTGAGGTAAGGTATGCTAGCTAACTAGCCACATGTCCTCTATAAACTGGAGTCTTTGTCTTTTGCATTGAATAAACATGTTAGCTTATTGAAACATATTGGGAAGTATGGTTGTAATATGATACAATGTCGACTTGATTTTATCAATATTTTTTTATTTTTGAAGGTATCTATATTTAATAGATTACGCTAGTTATCAATATGGAACAGCCCTTACTTATCTGATGGGTGTAATACTCAGAGTGTATGAGCCATGGCTGAAAGCTTACAATCTGTCACAGTAAGTGTTTGAAAAGCTGGGACAAGTTTCGGGAAATCGAAACACTGAAACAGAAAGTAAAAAAAATTAGGCATTGCTCGGTGGGGCTTTGAGGGCTGAAGCCTTGAATCTGGGGCATGGAAGGGGGCATTGTTGTTGTGTGTGATCCACCCCTTGCATGGGGAAAGTACAAAGCCAAGTGTGGCAAATAAAGTTGTTGTTGTACCCCCAGGACTGTGTGTTGTCTGGTTACTTGGTAGGAAATTGGTCTCTCTGT